ACAGCAGCTGGGATATTGATGGGGAATGTGTTGAATCTGCAGGCCAATTTGGGGTGTTTTGGCATCATAACAGTATTAAGTCTTCCAATTCATGAAAGTGAGATATCTTTCCATTTAATTAAGTCTTTGTTAATTTCTTTCAATCATGTTTTGTAGTTTTCTTTTGTTATACTTCTTTTGTTATATTCTATTCATTTCTAAGTACTTTATTCTTTTTTATACTTTTATAAATGGAATTGTTTTAATTTTATTTTTTTTATTTTTCGGTACGCGGGCCTCTCACTGCTGTGGCCTCTCCCGTTGCAGAGCACAGGCTCCGGACGCGCAGGCTCAGCGGCCATGGTTCACGGGCCCAGCCGCTCCGCGGCATGTGGGATCTTCCCGGACCTGGGCACGAACCCCCGTCCCCTGCATCGGCAGGCGAACTCTCAACCACTGTGCCACCAGGGAAGCCCGAATTGTTTTAATTTTAATTTTTCATTGCTAGTGTTTAGAAATACAATTGATTTTAATATATTGATCTGGTATCCTGTAACCTTCCTGTACCCATTTATTAGTTCTAATAATTTCTTAGTGGATTCCTTAGGATTTTCTATTTACAAGGTCATGTAATCTGCGAAGAGATAGTTTTACTCTTCCTTTCCAATCTGGATAGTTTTATTTTGTTTTCTTGCCTAAGTGCACTAGCTAGAACCTCCAGCACAATGTTAAATAGAAGTCGAGAGTATGGCTGTTGTTTGTAAAGATGTCAATTTTTCTCAAAACAATTTCTCTCACAATTCCAAAAAGCATTAGAGCTCCTGTGGATGAATACACAGGTGAGAGTAGCTATAAAAATCTCTGAAGAAAAAGAAATAAGTAAAGATTTTCTCTTCTGCTGTATAAAGGATTTAAAAGGCAACAATAATTAAAACAGAATAGCACTGACAAAAAGATATAAATCTCAGTGGACTAGAGTACAAAGTTCAGACTCTCTCTATAGTATGTATATAAAAACTTACATGAGAAAATCAGTGGCAAAGGGATAGGGTTTTTCAATAAGTATTGGGAAGCTTGAATAGCTGCTGGGGAGAAAAGGTTAGATTTTCACCTCAAATCATTCACCAAAATAGTTTCTAGAAGAATTTAAAGAGAATGAAAGAACAAAGAAAAAGCCAAACAATTTAAAAACTAGAAAAACTATGAATGGATATTTATTGGACCTGTGAGTGTGGAAGAACCTAAGCTTGAAACAATGGAAGAAATTCAACGACTTGACTACTTAACTTACGTCAAAACATATTTGCAATAAATATAAAAGACAAAGTGTTATTATTAACATAGAAAGGGTTAATATAAGTGAATAAGTTAAGGTTTCAAAGAAAATAGACAATTCAGAAAATAGACAACTCACTAAAAGAGGAAATATAAATGACTAATAACTGAAAAAATGTTCAATCTCATTAGCAATCGAAGAAATGCAAATCAAACAATAAGGAGGTACAACCTTTTGCTTTGAGCAAAGATTTCTAAGATGCTATTACTCATCACTGCTTAGAGTATGTTGAGAGAGCTCTCATGCTAACATTATGAAGTGATTTCCCATTATTAGGCCCACTTTATAACGTGGAAACTGAGACTCTGGGGTTCAGTAATTTGCCCAATCTCATACTGCTAGTAAGTTGTGGCACGAGGATTTGAACCCGGGTTGTGTGACTCTATTACAGTGAAGGGCCTAGAAAACAGATGTGGGAGAGAGGGCGAAGGACAGGAGGAAACGTAGCTTGAAGAGTCAGGCAAATATATTTGAAGTGCCTGTCTGGAAGGGTTATGATATTGCAGAGGGAAGCAATGAGTGGAAATTACACAAAGGACCACTCTTTCAAAGCAAGAACTGTCCCTAACGGACTAGAGGGGCCCAGGGAGGCGGTGAACACATCCAGCCCTGGGGAGGAAGAGGATGTAGGAGGGTCCTCTCTGTAACCCTCACATCAAACTGCAGTGGGTGGGGATGGGTGGTCTCATCTTCCAGAGGAGAAAACACCTCTAGGTAACCAAGGCCTCAGTGTCTTCAGAGTTTCTGCTCTTTTCTCAACTGCAGACAGCTAGCAGAGCCTGCCCTTTCTCCTAGGGCCAAGTGACCTGCAGGGGAGCCCTTCCTGGCCTCACTGCCCTCTTGCAGCTGCAATCTCAGGCCAGCAGGAAGCCTGACCTTGCCAAACTATGAGGGCCAGGGCAGGAGGAAGGAGAGCGGGAGTAGCCCATCTGAGTTCTCTTTTGCCTGTTCCTGGAGCCTTGCTACTCCATGGGGGAGGCAGAGGGAGGCGGAAGGGAAGAGGCAGTCTGGTCATGTCGAAGAGCTAAGAAACAGATGAAACAGAACCATTAAAGGACAGTGACAAATATGTTAGCTGTGGTTTGGTAAAGATATCTTCATTTGCAAAGCCCCTGGGGAATCCATTCTCAGGGGCTTCATCCTGACTCTATAATCTTGGGTAAGTCTGTTAACCTTTTCTGTACCTCAATTTCTTCATCTGTAAAACGGGTATGACAACATTTCCCGCTTTATTGACTTCAGATGATGCAGTGCTTAGGTGACCAACAAGCTAGTGTGAGGGCAGAGTACCAGAGGCAGCAGAGTCACTCAGACCTGAGTTCAAGTCCACTCTCTGCAATTTTCCAGTTAGAAACTTGGGGAAAATCACCCAAACTTTAGCTGCTTTAGCTTCCTCATCCGTGAAGCTGAGAGTAGCAACAGCACCTGCCTTAAATGGTTGTCTTCAGGGGCAAATGAGACAGTACACATAAAGTAGATGCTAGGACCAGGATTCCACAGCCCACAGGTTTAACCATTACAGTACAGTTGCCTCACAACCATAATGCATATAAAACAACAACATATAGTGTAAAGACTGGAAAGCAATACAACAAATTGTTAACAGTGTTTATTTCTGAACGGTGATATTCTACTTTTATTTCCTTTTTTATATTTTTCTATATTTTCCAAATAACTTATAATCAGAAAAAAAACTATATATGATGTTCAGATGCTTTGAGATCATTTGTGATGGTTTCCACTGTGTTAAAATCTTTGACAATATTTTCTCATGTCATCTTCTCAGCGACTGTTTCAAGTAGGAATCATCATCCCCATTTTCTAGATCAGGAAAGAAGGCTGAGAGGTTAGAGAGCTGACTTAATCATCAGGTCTTATTGCTGCTAAGTGGCAGAGAGCCAAGATCCATAGGCAGATCTGGCTGTCTCCAAAGCTAGGTGCTGTCCACAGGGATGCTGGGCTATGGGGCTCAGTGTGGAGAACTCCTCCACCCCATTTTGATCACAGTTAAGGTGGAAGGTTGTTAGGATTGAGCCTTGGTGCATATGCTCCCATGAGTCTCGGGTGCCCGGTGTACAACCATATTCCTGGTAGGGGACATGGCCCGGAAAGTGGGATTTTGGCATCCTCCTTTCACAGCATAAAAAAGTCAAGAGGTACTGTGGAGAGTCTCCCCAAGAAGAAATAAAGGTTTCCACTATCAAGGTATCCAATAGAGGAACTAAAAAAAAAAAAAAAAAAGCATAACTACATAGGATTGAGGGAGGGAAGTGGGTGTGAGCTAAATCATTATCTAACATAGGAGGAAGACAATAGATAATGGCCAGTCCTGAAAACTCTAGATATAGTTATGTAAGCATTTTATGTAGAAATATGGAGGTAACTACCAGGCCTGAAAACACAAATGGCTTTAAGTGGTTATCCCTGGAATGAGGGGTGGAAAGGGAATGTTTTGCTTTTCATCATAAGCATTTCTGTCCCATTTGATTTTTTAACTTTATTTTGTTTTTAGCTGTGTGTTACATGTCTTTTTAAAAATACTATTTTTAATACAGGCTCTGAAAGTTAAAAAGAAAAGTACAGACTTTGGGGTCATCTGTGTGGATTCACATCCCACGTCTGCCAGTTACGGATCTTGGGCAGGTTAACCTCCCTAAGCTGCAACTTTAACCTTCCTGAAAATAAGGATAAAAACCATACTTACCCCACAGGGTTGTTTTGGGGATAAAATGAGGTAACGCATGTAAAGCACACGGACCAGCATTGGCCGAAATTCAGCATCTGTAATTATAAACCATTGTTATCATTATTAATAATAAACCAAGCGTGCAAGTAACACCCAGGGCTTTGCACATAGTAGGCACTTAATGGGTGTAAGTAATTGTTTAAAACCTCCACCAGAGCCTATAATTTCCCCCAACTCGTGACGCATAAGCCCCAGCGGTCCGAGGGAACACTTAAATACTGATGTGGTTACTCATTTGTTCATCACTCTGTTCTCCGCCGCAGTGTCCGCAGAGGGCGAGCCCTGCTCCCTGGACTCCCGCGCCAGGTTCTGGCTGCACACGTGATTCCTCCCGCGCGCGGAGGAGGGAGACAGCGGCAGCTCACCCGCTTTCAGGTCGCTGATGCGGGGCCATCACGTGGCGCAGCGTGAATCACTTCTGGTTTCACGCAGGCATCTTCCCGGGCAGGGGCGGGCTGGAGGAGGGGGAGTGCCGCTCGAGACTGGGGAGCGGCCCTGGTCCGCATCGCTCCCACTTGCCAGCGCCAAGGGGATGGCCATGCCGGGAGGGACGGGGCGGGGCAGTTTTACGGCGACAGCTTTCCGGAGCAGGGACGTCTTGAAGGACGACTTGGGATTGGCCGGGAGACGCGGAGCGGGCATTTCATACCCGGCCGAGGGTGCCGCGCTGCCCGCAGGCGAGGCGGGGTTTCCTGGGGACCAACGCGGGAGCCCCCCCATCCCCCCGCGGAGGCCTTGCGCCCCGCCCACGGTCCTCGCGGCGGTCAGCGACCCTCCAGCTCCAGGCTGGTCTGCAGCAGACGGGGCGAGGGCGTGCGGGCCACCATCCCCAAGCTCCGCCGCACCTCGGCGCGGGTACGGGTTAGGTCGCGAGTCGCGGGACGCCGGCCGCTAGGCGGGGCGGGAGGCGGGGCGCTGACGTCGCGGCGCGGCCGGCAGCCGGGAGGCGGAGAGGCAGCGGCCGGCTCGGCCCGGCCCAGCCCAGCCCGCAGCTGCGGCGGCCGAGCCTGTGGGCGGCGGCGGCGCTCCAAGCCGGATACTGACCGCCCTCCGCCGCTGCCCAGTTTCTCACTTGGTCCGGGTTTCCACGCCTGGTTCGGCCAGCCCTCACCCGTCGCCGCTTCCCCCGCCATGGCCCTGGTACGGGGCGCCGAGACGGCGGCTGGGCCCTCCCGCTGGCTACCCACGCACGTCCAGGTGACTGTGCTGCGGGCCCGCGGGCTGCGGGGCAAGAGCTCGGGCGCGGGCAGCACCAGCGACGCGTATACGGTGATCCAGGTGGGCCGTGAGAAGTACAGCACGTCGGTGGTAGAGAAGACGCTGGGATGCCCCGAGTGGCGCGAAGAGTGCTCCTTCGAGCTGCCGCCCGGCGCCCTGGACGGCCTGCTACGGGCGCAGGAGACCGACGCGGGCCCGGCGCCCTGGGCCGCGGGCTCCGCCGCCGCCTGCCAGCTAGTGCTTACCACCATGCACCGCTCGCTCATCGGCGTCGACAAGTTCCTGGGCCAGGCCATGGTGGCGCTGGACGAGGTCTTCGGCGCAGGCCGCGCCCAGCACACACAGTGAGTGAGGGGCGCGCGGGAGCGGAAACGGTTAAGGGCCTCTTGGGGCGTGGCTGGGGAGACGCAGGACCCCGAACCTCGGCCTGGGCGGTGCGACCTTTTGCCTAGCGCTCAAGGGCATAAACCGACAAGTTGGTTCTTCGCATAACGGGGTCTTCTTCCGATCCCCAGATGTGCGCTGGGCTGTGCTTGGCCGCTGGTGTGTCCTTGGAAGGCCGGGGGGAGGTGAGAATGGTGGCCTACTGTTAGGAGTAGATTGTCAAGTAAAGTTAGGAGTGGGATCCAGAGCCTCTTGGACTGTGGGAACCTCAAGAAGGAAAATCTTGGGGCCTTTCCCAGGGCCTCCGGGCGTGTTTCACTTTCCTCGAAGGGGAGGGGAACTGCCTTCGGGCGCCTGTTCCACACCAGGCCCGCAGGGGAATGGGGAGGCCCTGCCTCGCCCTGTGGGGGAAAGAAGGTGCAGTGTTGTCCTCGAGGAGGGCAGAGGATGAACGGAGGCGCCCCACCAAATCTAGAGGCTGCAGAGGGCATCTGCTTCTTGCCTGGTACTGGGATGCCCTCTGTTGCTTAGAGATGCCCCCGATTCTTCCCTTCTGTGTCTCTGGTCTGAGAACAGGAGACCCTTTCAGTAAAGGAAGGAAACGCTTTAATCAGGCTTCAAGCATCTTGACTGAGGTGGAGGCAGCACGTGCTTAATGGACAGTAGGAGACAATCTCCCAGTCACTTAAACCTAGAAGGGCCAGAGCGTTTACCAGTGGGTTTTAAAGAATCATTTATTTTGGCAGCGTTTAACTTTCCCTGTGTTAAGATCAAGGCTTCAGGCTTGGAGCCTCATTTCCTGTTTTGGGCTTGGGCAGGATCCGGAAGCCTGTCCGCAGGGCTGACAACCTGCCCTGGGTCACTCAAGTGTTTAACTGGGGTGACGCCACCCCTAGGCCCATGGGCCCTGGATGGGGAGGGTAAGGGGTTGGTGACAGTTGCTGGAAAGGTTTACCCAAGTGGAATGGCATCCAACTGAGTAAATCTAGGAAGGCTTGCTGGAGAAGGATGAGCCTGGTACAAACCCAAATAAAAGCTGGATTTGGATAGAAAAGGATCTGACCTTGAACATTTCAAAAATGTGGGTAGAGAAGGCCTTCATGGCTCTTTGCAGCCTGGGGTGGGAAACGGGTTAGCATAGGGCAGGTTTGGGCAGGGCTGTGACTTAGCTCCATCTCCCCCTCCCCTGGCCTTCTCTCCTTCCCTCATGACTTGCTGTTTGGTTGCTGGGTGTGGATCATGTGGTATAGTTTGGCCCTTGTTTTGTTTTTTTCCTCCCCTTTTCTGTCCTTTCCCTCTTGCCTGGCTCAGGGAGCCCAAGGGGGTGGGGGTGAGGCAGAAAGCTCTCCTCTGGCTCTTGTAGCCCTTTCTTCTTCTGAAGAGGCTCCTGTCCCCAAATTCATTCCACCCCTTTCTTTCCCAGTCCTTCAGTCTCCACCTCTCAGCTAATCTGACCCGACTGGTAGATAACACATCTCGGGCTGGGGGTGGGGGGCACTAGAGGGGAGACTAAGGGGCAGACAGAAAAAGTCTCAGCTTGTGGGGAGTGGCTTCTCTGAGGTCAGTGACTTGCATGGGGTGGGGGAGGGGCTTTGATTTTTTTTTCAGTTCCTGCTCTTGCTTTCTTCTTGGCCTCTGGATCTTCCTTAACTGAGCTGTCTATGTCTGTCGGCCCATGTGCGCCTGTTTGCAGCCAAGGACAGTCCCCTTGATCTGAATGGGAGCCTTATTTACTTTATAGAAGTCATCTTTTCCACCAGGATCTTTCCACACCCACCTGGCTGCCTTTCCTCTGATGCATTGACCTGGGTTATTTATAGAACCTGGAGGGGGCAGGAGGAGGGGGACTTGTAGTGGGCAGCAGAAAAGTCTGTGAAATCAGCCTGATCTTTTAGTTTACTGGACCAAACAGCGTGCCCACTGACAGAGGGTGAGGGCTGCTGACCCCACTCCAGTTTGCACCTTCCACCTCTGGCTCTCATGGCCACCCTTGGTGGCCTTTCCTGGAGCATCTTGGCGTGAGCTGCTAAGATAGTGAGTCTGCACATTTTCCATTGGGGAGAGGACTGGGGTGTGCCCTCCTCAGCTTTGGATAATGGTGGCAGAGAACTCCAGGAGAGCACATGATAGCCCTGTGTTGCCCAGACAGAACTCCATTGGGGAAAGGCAGTCTCACAATTAAGAGGAGGGGCCTGTGGAGTTGCAGATTCCCTTCCAAACCTGCCACCTTGTGGCCAGTCAAGTAAACTCTTGGTGCCTCAGTTTTCTCATCTGTAAAATGGGGCTAATTTGTACCTTGACAGGATTGATGTAATGGATGAAATGCGTATGTAATTAGAGCATCTAGTGCAGTTCCTGGATATGCCTGGTGGTCAGTGAACAGCAGTGATGGTGGAGTGAGGTTTTAGTAGCCTGGTAGCTGTGATCTGGGAGATGTCCCCTGTCTCAGAGGAGCCTCTCATGTGATAGGAGGAGGTAATACAGAACTTAGCGTAGTCCTGGAAAGCCCCAGGACTGTGGTGGCAGGGTACTCACAGAAGTATGAGAGCTCCTCATGAAATGAGCTGGCCCTTCACAGCCCTCCACTACTCTCTTTGCTGCCAGAGGCTTGAGAATTGGGGCTAGTCTTGTGAGGCCTCTGCAGTTCTGAAGCCACGCTCAGATCAGCTTGCAGCTCTGCAGCTGTCCAACATGGCAGGGCAGCATAGTGTTTAAGAACGTGGAGACTGAGGTTTCGCTCCCAGTTCTATCACTTACTAGCAGGCAAGTTACTTAACCTGTTTCCTCGTTTCTGAAAAGGTAACAGATGATAACAATCATAGAGTTGTACAAATTAAATAAGACAGGATCTCTAAAAACTTTAGTATCATTTTAGACACATAGCAGGCTTTCAAGATATTAGTGTTGGGTTACTCTCAGGGCCCTCCTTATGTGAGGGTGGTGATGATGGGGGCTGGGGTTCTAGGTGCCTCAACAGCCCCCAAAGCTCCTTTGTTAGTGGGGTGCTCTTTGAGGTGAGGGATTTCACTGGAGACTTCCAACTGATTGAAGAGAAAATTGTCAAAACAACATGTAATGTAATACACAAGGAAACTAATTATAACCGTCTCCCCTCAGTAAAGCCCTACATGGATCATCATGGGTCTCAAAATCCCAAGAGCTGCTGCTTTATTTATTTGGCCATGCTGTGCTGCTTGCAGGATCTTAGTTCCCCAACCAGGGATCAAACCCAGGCCCCTGCAGTGAAAGCGCCGAGTCCTAACCACTGGACCGCCTGGGAATTCCCTCTTTAGCTTCTTTAGATGCGTCCTTTCTGATTTTTACTTCACCACCATCCATAGTACTCCCCAGTGCGTGCTCGTGTGGAGTGAAGTGGTCCCTTCTGTAAATAGCCCCCTTCCTGGGCCTGTTGGATGGATGGTTAGAGTCTGGCCCCTTGGGAAGGCCAAGTCTGTGGGCTCGGTTTGGGTTAAAACGTGACCATGGGCAGGCTGCAAATGTGGCCCCCTAAGAGGCTCTGTCAGCCCTGGTCAGACCTGTCTCATTGATTTTATAAGGGCCTATGGGAGGCCTGTGGCTGAGGAGGACTTAGGTTGGAGACCAGAGCTTTCTGCCTGGCTGATGGTGGTGGCCTGAGACCTCCTCGAGGAGGGCGGGCTTGGGGGCAATGGGAGAGGCAGCTGAGGCAGATGCAGCCTGCTGGCCTAAGGTAGACCTAAGGTGGGCATGGTCTTTGAGGGCTTCCATCTGTCCCTTAGCCTCCAGATGGCCTGTGCATTACTGTTGTAGGTAGATGGTGCATGACCCACAGCCTTATCATGTTTGCAGATGTGACTGCTCCCCAGGAAGCAGCTGAGGCCGCGAGGGTCCTTGGCTTTGGCTCCTGCTCCAGCCCCCGACCTGGCTGCTGGGCAAGTCTGCTTTGGCCGCGGGAAGGGTGTGGCTGTACTTAAAAGCATCAGTTAGGGCGGAGGCTGCATCTCCCTGAGTTATGGGGCAGTTTTTATCTGGGGTTGCTTGAGCAGCAGTGTCTGGGGAGTGGGGAGTGACTCCGCCGTCAGACTGAGCGGCTTCCCCTTCCCTCTGCATCTGGCCCCGTTCTCCCCTCCCTGCAGGCAGCCAGGGACAGGCGCAACTCAGCAGAGCTCCATCCTAGCGACCTTGAGGGCTGTCCCTTTCTTCTGATGGGGGCTGTCTAAATTCTTTTTATTGCTGCCACCCTGGTGCTGTGACGCGCTCTCCAGCGATGCTAAACGGCTGGTCTGGCCTCGTCCAGATGTTTCCCCTGCTTTCCCACCTTGTGCTGGGACAGATAATTAACACAATGACAGGAGCTCTGTGTGCTCTCTGGGAATCAGTACCCTATTTTTTCCTGTGCAGGGCCGACCTCTGCAAAATAGTGTGATCATGAAGAAGCTTTGCCCTTCCCCACAGCCAAGTAATAAAAATAAGTCCGCGATGTGTGTCCTTTATGCACCTGGCAGTCCTGTTAAGGAAGAGGCTTTGCCCTTACTGAGTTGGCCTGTGGGGGTGGTCCTGGGCCCAGGTCTCTCCGCAGTGAGCAGAATAAGCAAGTTCAGCTCCCAGGAAGCAGCGCTACAGAGTTGCCGGGAGGGGCTTTGTCATGGGCCACCTTGACCTTCAGCTGACCCTGGAGGTGGTGAGGAGAAGCACAGCCCTTACTCATGGAATTCTGATGTCAGAACTGGAAGAGTGCTTAGAAGTGTGGAAATTGAGGCTGGGGAGGGAGAGTGACAGGCTCTCAGCTACTCAGCAGTTAGGGAGGGTGGGGCTCTGTGTGGTTTCTCTTAGGCCCTGACAGCCTGAAGAGCTGTCAGATTTGGGATAAGGAAGAGACGGCATTTGGGAAGCTGAGTGCATCCCAAGGTTTCTGTGGAAGTGCCTGAGAGGTTTTAGGGAGAGAGGGACATTTCAGCTGGGAGGGGGAGGGAGCCTTGGG